TCAGAAATAAGACTGTATTTTGTAGCCTTCCTTGCAACTAGGAGACCATATAACTATTTTCTAGAAAACAGGATATTAGCAAAAATGATATGCAACTTGCGATAAGTGTCACTAAAGGAAGTTAGGTTCCCTTTTCTCCTTTCTGCTGGTTGCAACACAGATAACATGGGTGAAGCTAACCATCTTGGACCATAAGGTAGAAAAGGATGTCTGAGGACAGCAGAACCACCTACATAATGGAAGGAATAGGAGTTCCTGATCATTATGGAACTACCATGCTAATTCTGGGTTGTCAGAAAGGAAGAAGAATGAATACTGAATAAGGCAGTTAGCAGTGTCTGTCATACCTTCTGAGAGGCTACTGAACTCTAGTTGTATGCTAGTTACTTATGGAGGTTAGGGCCTGAAATTATGATCTTGTAGGCAAAGATGGTAATTATGGTATTGTGATGGTAAGGCAAGAAGATACTGATGCTGGAGGCACAGTATGAAAGAATATAACATGGAGTAAGAAGTGTAGAAAATGGCCAACTGTGCAAAGAAGTTCAATGAATGATTTTGACACAAAAACATGAAATCAACCTTTTCAGTGTGTCATCAAGAATAATCTTGAAAAAGCCCTAGCTGGGTAGGCTCAGTGGGTTAAAGATTCTCTCTCATCATTGATGTTTCTATCTCTCCCTCCCTCTCAATAAAAATGTATTTTTTTTTTAAAAAAAAGAATAATCTTTAAAAGCAAGGATACTATTTAGAGATTATTTGTAGTCACAGGGGGAGTGGTTTAGAAAAAAATTATGCACATTTTAGAAACAAGGCAAACAGATGACATGATCTTTTAATGCCATGCTAGAGCATTTTCAAGCAAAGTCAGCCTGGGGTCACCAGGTCATCTTGGGGAGTCTAATTTTGTTTGATTAGCGCCCAGAGAAGTCTTACAACCCTCAGGAGTGAGAAGGCAGCCCTGGCCAGGGTGGCTCCGCTGGACGTCAGCCTGTGCACCAAG